CTTTCATACCTCTCAATAACCCAAGACCTGAACAGCTCACTATCATTAACAAACATAGCGATAGGGAAAAACAAGTATGGCCACCGAAATAATAAAACACACAGCATCCGTTCGCACCATCATTGATGACCATTTCTATGGCATCTTAATTGACACACAACTGAAGAATAAACTGGAGTTCATAGATGGTAACTTCCTACATTCCTAAAACGGTATACATTTTCAGGTAATGTTCAGTGTCTACCTAATAGACTGTTGAGAATACATACATATGGAGACACTGGAGTATGTGAAGAGTTACATGAGATCGATGGCTGCAACCATTGCCGGGCAAACAGGGCAGCAGGCAACGCCGCTTCCTTCGCAAATTACATCGGTGGAGGAACTACAGTCATTTGTTATACTAATGCAGGATGCATTCAACAATTGGTAAGATTCCTTGATACCTCACATATGCATGCAGTCTAAACTGAAAGGTGTGCATGGAGACACGTTGTCGGAGACTGTACGCCTCATGATGCAGCGTCTTCTAACGCGGTCATTGATGGCGGAGATCAATTACTCCGGTCTCCGCAACAAACACGGATTCCGGAAGATGAAGCTATTCACCGAAGTGCAAGGTAAGCAACATCTTTGCCCTTTCATCCCCGTCGTAGCTGCTCTATTAAAACGTTTCTCCGGAAGTATTGTGTCACCTGATGATGATGTCAGGAAATACTTGAAATCGATTCGTGGCAACGCATGGCGCGACACTACCAAAGGTTGTGCAAGCAGCCAGCAGGTATGAAATGGTGGATTACTTATTAACATTTCTTAAATAAGGTTTTCCAATTCGTGGACTTGGAGCGCACTTGAGACAGCATGGAAGAAGCGTAACCGATTCAAACGGAACATGGACCTCTGTTGTCAATATTGATGTCCTTCCATTTAATGTATCCACTACTATGCGTCGGTAAACGGACTTCTTACTGTGAAAAAATCGGATTCCATTCCCGCTATCTTTGTGCTTATTGGGAATGAAATACTAAGTCATCACTATGAGTAGTGGGACTGGACCCTGTGCGCCGTGTTAAACATGGTTTCCTCCATTCAGTAGCAGCAGGATGTTACGCCGCAGGAGAAAAGAGGTCATATGGGCGATTAGCTATGACTCGCACATTTACTTTGCATTAGTAAGCGGTAGTAATACCTGCGTTACATATTATTATTAACGGGAAACGCAGGTGGGGATTTGAGATCCCCTTCCAGCGGTGTGCGAGCTTGGGTGGGTAGCCAATACGTGGGGTGTACAGGGGCTGCAGCTAGGTGCGGCGTACAGGGGTACCGGCTAGGTGCGTGCGTAGCGTCGTGGTGCGTGCACGGCCATTGGTCCACGCCGTCCAAGGTCAACCGTCAATGACCATTCATACTCCTCCAGTCTGTCTGTCATTCACTGTTTAACCTAGGTTTCTGATTGGACAGGGTGCAAAGTCCTTCACTGTGTACTTAATACAGCTGCAGTGGAAGGACAAATTTCGCCTTCAAAATGGTCGCAAAAGTCCTTAACCATGGATTCAGGTTTATAGTTGACGGTTAAGGACTTTACCACCCATTTTCGCCTTCAAAGTCCTTTTTGTGCTAGCAGGGTGACGCTTACTGGTAATTTTGCGGTTGTTCCCTTTTTAATCCCGTTTTACACCCTGTTTTGCCCTTTTATTGTGGTCGTTTTACGGTTGTATACGTGTTTTTAAATTCTGCTCTGTTTTCCACTTCAACATGGTCGTCTCGCGAAAAACCGAGGCGGATGAACCCCTTGCGTCTTCGTTTGATGAGTCAAATGCAGCTTGCAGCAATTCTGCCTGTTCAAGGCCAGTTACGGATTCATCTGGTGGTATGCAGTGTGATGTTTGCTCTCGTTGGTATCACAAAAGTTGTACCGGCCTCCGAGCGAATCAGTACAATATGCTATCATCCAGTGAAAACCTTCTGTTTAGATGTGCTGATTGTTGCGCTCAGAAAGCGAAGCTCCCGGCTTTCACCTGTGCTGAATTCAAAGCACTAGCATCTAGATTCACAGTTGTTGAGAAGGCATTAGCCGAGCTTGCCTCTCTTGCCTCGCTCAACTCTAAAGTGGATTTGATTATGAAATCCCTGAATATTGCGAAGGTGGACGCTGTAACGGACTGTCCTTCTGCCGACAGTCCAACCGTTGACGAGGCGTTCATCCTACCGGACGCTCCAGTGCACGTGGATATAACTGACACAGATGCCTCGGACGGCATTGTTGACCCGCCCCAAATGGAAGGCGAGTCACGGGCTCCTGGGCCATTGAAGAATAAGCGTAAGAGGGCAAGGAAAGCGCGCAAACCCTCTGCCCCCAAACCGGAGGGTGATAAAATGTCAAGAAACAAGCGCCTGAGTTGGAAACACCACCTGGTGTTGCAATTCCCTCAGTGAAGACGTGGTGCCGTCGCCTTTTGTCCCACCGATTCCTGTCAAGCAACCATGTGGCTTGGATGGTAAAGCATGTGGTGTGAATACACCTCGTCGAGGCGATTCTTACACAGATAGCAGTGTGATTTTCAGAAACGTCACTGAATCCACTGCCGCTCTTCCCACCGAGCGCATGCTTGATGATCTTGGTTGGCTTAAAGTTTGCGTGACCAGGCTTTTACCACCAGGTTTCCCTGGCGTTACTGTCAGGAAGCTCATCAGATTGGGGAACGTTCCGGTTGGTCAACCAAATCCTCGACCCCGTCTGCTTAGGGTGGTCCTCTCCACCCCAGAAGAGCGCAGGGCCTTACTGAGATTTGCCTTCAAGCTCAAAGGTACCAACGTTAGTGTGCAACCAGACCTTCCGTTAGCGGATAGGTTAAAGTTAAAGGAAGCCATCAGAGACCTAAAAGCCCGGCGTGCAGCTGGCGAGCAAGGTCTCCGATTGGTGGGTTTTCAGGTGGTCAGCCGGCGGTCCTTTTCCGCCCTGCCAGAACCTATACTACTTGCGCACGACCCAGGGCTGGTCGTGCCGAAGCCCTCCAAGTAGTACTTAGTAACGTGCGTAGCCTGAGGAACAAGATGTGCGAGGTGGGTCTGCTCGTAGACAAATCTCGTCCAGATATACTTGCTTTCACTGAAACGTGGCTGTCTGAGGAAATCACAGATGGCGAAGTATATCTGCCTGGCTACGCACTGTTCCGCGCTGACCGCTCCATTGGCCGTCAAGGGGGTGGTGTAGCTCTTTATGTGAGTTATCACATCGACGTATTGAGGACCAGCGTTTTTCAGTCTCTCGACAAATCTGTTGAGGCTCTCGCAGTCTTGATTTGCGCTTCCTCGGTTCAGGTTACGGTCGTGTTAGTGTATAGAAGCCCTATGAGCACCTCCAATGGAATCATTGAGTTTATACGCACTCACTCTGCGAACAAGTGTCTGGTGCTGGGAGACTTCAACCTCCCAGAGGTCTGTTGGGATGATCTATCTTGCAGTTCTGCGCTGGGATCGTTCGGTACAGAACTGCTGGACTTAACGCTGCAGGTACCACTACACCAGTTCGTGGACCTCCCCACTAGGTACATGAGCAATCAGCAGCCGTCCATTTTAGATCTTGTTTTTGCTAAGTCACTTGACTTTGTAAATGACATTAAATACGACTCGCCTCTTGGCGCTAGCGATCACGTTTGCTTGTCTTTCCAGTGTACCCTTATCAGGCCTTGCCAAGCTACTACCAGTTGGTATCCGAACATTTGGGCCGCGGACTTCCAAGCGATGCGGGATAGAGCTAGGTCATCGCCTTGTGTGATATCTGAGACCGACACTGTTCACATAGCCTGGGAAAAGCTTAAGGCTCACCTCGTCGACATTTCTGCACCTCACATCCCACTGGTAAAAAGAAGGGAATCGAGAGCGCAGCCTCCGTGGATAGATTCCGCGGGGAAGGGCCTGCTAAAGAAGCGGTCTAGATGCTGGCGAGCGTACCGAACAGCTCCGTCGAACAGCACGTTTGACAAGTATCGGTTGGTTCGAAATGAGTGCAAGCTACATCTTAGGTTGGCCCGGCTTCAGTATGAAAAGGGCTTAGCTAATACTGCTTCGAAAAATCCCAAGAAATTCTTCGCTTACGTTAAACGACGCTGTGGTGCAAACTCGCCCATACCACCATTGCTTCGAGGAGATGGGACCCATGCTATAGCGACTATGACAAGGCATGCGTGCTTGGTAAGCAGTACTCAAGCGTCTTTGTCCGCGAGACAAATACGCCATGCAAAGAGTTAGCTTCAAGAGTCCTGAGGACTGTTGTCTGGATGAAATTCCTGTAACGGAGTCCCAAGTTCTCCGGTTGCTAAAAGAGGTGAACCCAACTAAGGCTTCTGGGCCAGATTCTGTTCATCCAAAATTGTTGCACGAATTGGCAGGGGAACTCAGTGGACCTCTGACTTGTGTGTTTCAGAAGTCACTCAACAGCTGTATCTTGCCTACCGAATGGAAGGAGGCTGTTGTCTGCCCGATTTTCAAGTGCGGTGACAAAGACCTACCGGCTAATTACAGGCCTGTCAGCTTGACTAGCGTGGTCGTTAAGTTACTTGAAAAATTAGTACGAGATACAGTGGAGAACCATTTAAATAGGTTTAACCTGCTTAGCGTCGAGCAACATGGTTTTCGCAAAGGATTTTCGTGTCAGACGAACTTGCTGGTAGCTCGTGAGTGCTGGGCTGAAGCCGTAGACAGTGGACATGCGGTGGATGTGGTGTTCATTGACTTCGCCAAGGCCTTTGACACTGTCCCCCATTCGCGACTCTCACTGAAGTTGAGGTCGTATGGAATAGCTGGTCGCGCTCTCCAGTGGGTGTCAGCTTTTCTGGCTGGACGGGAACAGTGTATTCGTGTGGGAAGCAGTCTTTCGTTTCGACAAGCTGTACTTAGCGGCGTTCCGCAAGGCTCTGTCCTAGGTCCGCTGCTTTTCTCAGTCTACGTGAATGACTTGCCGGAGGAGCTTGAGGTACAATCGCTCTTATTTGCTGATGACCTAAAGCTCTGGAATATTGTTGATATCCCTGGAGGTCCTGTGGCTCTTCAACGGGCTCTGGATAGACTCTGGGAATGGTCTGTCTTGTGGTTGCTGCCCATAAACCGGGCAAAGTGTTCAGTGCTGCGTATCGGAGCGTCTGATTCCTCCACAAGTTATGTGCTCGATGGGAGTGAACTTCCTCACGTGACTCATCAGGTTGATCTAGGTGTCGTCCACTGTTCCACACTACACTCTGGAGACAACTGGAAGAAGGCGGCTAGTAAAGGGTTCCGGATGTTGTGGTTTATCCGTCGTTCTTTTGGGACCCTAACCGCTGATGTGTTTGTGAAGCTCTTCTCAGCGTTTGTGCGACCCCACCTAGAATATTGCGTCCAGGCCTGTCCACCATGCCTTGTCCGGGACAAAATGGCACTAGAAAGGGTGTTGCGTGTCGGTACTAGGTTGGTCAAGGGATTACGAGGGCAAACGTACCCCGAACGCCTACTTAGTTTGGGGATGCAGTCAATGCACTATCGAAGAATTAGAGGGGACCTAATCCTAACCTACCGTATTTTGACTGGGAAAGTTGGCCCTGATTTGCGCATGCTATTTAGTGCTGCTAGATTATCTGGTCTCCGCGGGCATTGTATGAAGCTGGACAAACAGCGGTCCGATCGAGTTAGAGTGGAGACACGCTTATCGCGTCGAGTCATCAAGCGCTGGAACCTGCTTCCAGAAAATGTTGTCAAGGAAGTTACGGTTAAGGGGCTTGAGCGTCAACTAGATGCTCTTGGGTGGCAACACGAAACCTTTCCGTTTTCCTGACAAATTCCCATTTTCATACTTCTATTTTCTTTACTTTTCCTCGCCATTGGTGTTATTCTCTTCTTTTAACTGATTTCCCCTACTCTCTTACCTTTGATTCTTCTTCCTCTCTTACTTCACGTAACTGACATAGCTGGGACAGCTAATGTAAGGAACGTGGGCATTAAATTGGTGGACCAGGATGCTTTTCGGGTATTATGTTTTTAGAT